TTTGCTATTCTACTCACCTGCTATATCCTCTAAAATGTCCCAATGTAATGCGAAGAAAATGGCAGAGTACATTAGTTCCAAAATCATTTCATAGCATTCCATACATCAAAATTAGATCACTTCTTAATCTGTAGTAGAGCAAAGTAAAAAGGTTCAGCTTTTCAAGTCGCATTTTGTATAGTAAACCCCGGTGTTCTGGAATTGCACTATATGGCGAATTTATTATTTTTATTTTAATACACAGATATTGGTACAAGGAGGCACCAAATACATATGCGCCACACAAATCTCTTTTGATATGTATGAGGGCTGTGATACTACCCGAGTGCCCAAACCAAAACAGGTGGTTTTCTTAAGGGACCACACCCAGGGCCTTGGACCTGAAGGTCTGATCCACAAGGCAGTGGAGAATCGTAACAAGATGCAATCGCATGGTAGCTGGTGACCAACAACTGGTTCATACGCCATTTGTTCCTTCAGGATACTGGGTCCCATGTGCACCATTGGTTTGGAATCAGGGTTTTCCAACTCCCCTAGATGGATTGTCCATGTCCACCAACCCGGTTAAAGCGCCGGACATTCGCTTTTCGTCTTCTCAATTTCGTAAACAACAGCCCCGCCACGAGAAGGCAGTGAGTATATACGCGTGGCCATATGAGAGCATTTCGAGAGGGTGAGAGGACTCTTCCTACTCATGGCCGTACCAGGGCATTTGGGGGGCGAAACACTGTTAGAATTGACATAGTAATTTGTAATCTTTAAAATATTTCTAGTTTAAAAAATTGTACAGATTGAAATCTACTTTACAGAGAATAGACATTTCATTGAAATTCCTAGAGTAGTTTATCTATTTCATTTACGTATAAATAGGTGTGCAGTTATAGATTATTTTTACTTCGTTTTTGTTTAGAAAAAGAAACTTGTTAAAATACTTTATATCCAGTACTCTATATTGTACTAAACACATAATGTTCAATAGGACTATTAAGTCTATTGAGATGTCCAAATCACCCATATGAGATACACATAAAATCGATGTTTACAAAGCAACAATTTATCTAAAACAAAAATTTATTACAAACCTAAATTTGTAAGGTATCTATGGCGTTTACCACGTTTTATTGTTTGAAATAAAATGAGCTTCCTTTAATAGTAATATAAAGAACAATTACAATATACGATAGTTCAGAAGAGAGCTGTTAGTTTTGTCTAAACTTGATAACAGTTTATCAACTAACAAAAACCGAACCAAGAGCAAACAATATGGAAACTGTTGCGTTTAACCAATAGTTAAACAAATGCACAAAATTGTGAACAATTATGACAATGGTTGAGATAAATTAATTATAATCACAAATACAATAAATGTTATAAGTATATGTAAATATTTCAGAATATTACACGACAAACGCATGTGTAAAAATTGCTAGGAACACAACTGTTTACTGAATATTAATAAGTAGTATAAAACAAAATACACAAAAGAGTCGAAAGGAAGTGAATCAGGAGAGAGGATGTAAAACTAATGATAAAAATAAAAATAATAATAATAATAATAATAATAATAATAATAATAATAATAATAATAACAGTAGTAGTAGTAGTAACGATATTAATACCAATAGTAATAATAATAGTAACAGTAATAGTAATAATAGTAATTGTAATAATGATAATTATAATTGCAGTAATGGTAATAGTATTAATAATAACAATGCCCCCAAATGCTCTGTTATGGCCACGCATATACAGCCACTACCAGGAAAGTCTAACTCACTGACTTCTCAAGGGCGCGGGTGTTTTCTATGAAATTAATGGGACGAAAAGCGAATGTCCGGCGCTTTAACCAGCTTGGTGAATATGGAGGATCCATCTAGTGCAGTCGGAAGACCCTGATTCCAAACAATCAGTGGATATGGACTCCAGGATTGTAAAAGAACAAATGGTGTATGAACCAATCGTTGGTCACCGTCTACCATGGGACTGCATCTCTTGGCGTTGCTCCACCACCTTGTGGATCAGTTTTTTAGGTCAAAGGCTCAGGGAGTAGCCCCTTACGAAACTATCTGCTTCAGTTTGAGCATCCAGGCAGTATCATAGCCCAAACACAAATCAAGTGACTTGTGTGGCATTTATGTATTCGATGCTCTTTGTACCAATATTTATATGTTCAAACAAATAATAATACTTGTTTAATATAGGTATGTATGAAAATTTCACCATGTTTGCCCTACAACATTCGATAACTTTTTGTTTTAAATTAAATTAGGGTTCATGTGATAATCACATTTGGTTGTCAGTTTCATTGACATAGTTATGAATCATCCAAAGTGGCTCAGATGCATACACTCTAAGTTCTTCTCGATCTTGAGTCTTACAATCCTTTGATACATACTTTTTTAAATTATATTCCTATAATTTAGTTTTTCTTTTCTATCACTACTACATTAGTGTAATCTTTTCATTTTGTTGTTTTCATTTCGTCTTGTTAACTTAGTATAGTAACCTAGACTAACATGAATCTATACCGAGAATTTCATTGATGTTTGTCACATTAAATATAAAGTTGCTAATCTCAATAACTTCCTCCTGGATTCCATTCCTTTTTCGTTTTTATTCTAAACATTGTTTTTATGATTCACTTTACTGATTAATTTGATTTTATTTATGTAATATATTATTTGTGCAGTTTTAATCGTGTTAGTATTTTGAGCTGAGTTGAATGATGGTTAATAGTGAAATCTAGGACACATATTTCATCTTAATCATGATTCATAAACCATCATCCAATTCTAAGCAAAGATGGATAGTGGTTAGCAATGGAATCGAAGACACGCGTTTCGCCCTATTTAGCACTCGTCACCTGCATCTCACAGTTGATGTTCACTCCGAGACTCGGACCTAGGCCGTTCGCTTCGAACGCCATCGTGTTATCCACTTAGCTACTGAGTCCTGCAAACGGTACTGGGTTCGAGTCCCAAAGTGGTCATCAACTGTGAGATGCAGGTATATCCAGTTGACCAGCACCAAATAGGACAAAACGCGCGTCCTAGATTGATAAACTTCACTAACGTTTCAGTACTTTCGAACCACTTTTCCATTATCTATTTGTACTGTTTATTTAAACACATCCTGTTACGTAATTTTAACTATTCCTGATTGTTATTCTAAAGTGTATCTTTACCCATATTCTGAAATTTGCTTCCCCAATTGAAATATTTATTCAATTTGGTATTATTCCTATCTCTACTAGTGTACATACCATAATACGACTAGTTATATAACAGTTATTGACTCACAAATTGCCAAGATTAGTTTCATATTACTGTTTATCGGAGTAAAGTCTGGTAAAACAAAGAAAAAAACTAACTGAAGACAATATTGTTCACTTTAATGTACGCCGGACACCTTAACCCAGTAATCCATATCTACCTACATAGTTCAGTCCAAGTGTCACTGACCTCATGGACCTAGTGCTAAATCTTGGTCTTGTGATCCCTAACCTACTCTTAGACCAGACATCATCAATCAAGTTAAGTGGTTTTTAGAAATATGTAATACATGTCCCAATGGCGCAGGTGCATCCACTCTTTGTGTTCTCCCGAATTCCAATCTTCTGAATTCTTCATGTCCCCTTTTTCGCCTTCGAAATTTATTTCACTGGATTATACTCCTTGAATAACATCTTCAAAACCTAATCTTTCCGATTACTACTTATACTCTTACTACCTCTACCACTATGGGATTTGAATCGACAACTGCATCCTTGTGCTAATGTGGTATGGCAACTCGAACTGATGTACGTACGTACGATGTTCTACTTTGTTAGTGACTGACTGACTGTCCCAACCGTCTCAGAAGAGGATTTACTACCTTATCAATTGATTTTACATCATTACTCAATACCCTACCCCTATAGTAAGTCCATTGAATTTTTCTATTACAAGCTGCAATCTAAGCAATTAACCCACTATGCAAAAAGTGTAGGTTTGATTGAACGTATTACTGCATCTCAATCTTTATCTGGTCGCCCATCGGTTGTAGATAAAGACAACCAATAACTTAAAATTGATTAACACTTATAAAATGTACATTGATATTTCTCTAATAAACGAGAACTCAGATGCGGAGAACCAATTTATTATTTCATGCAAAATTACAGAATATCTCCAAATTCACAATTCCTTTCTGTTTTCTTCAATTCGATCTTCTTAACCTTCTGCTGCCAGCCATTTAACTTTCAGTTGGTGTTACATACTACTTATTTCGATAGACATTAGTAGTATATATCACATTTCTACTTTTAACTCACACACACACTCATTCACTGTCCATTGTTTGCCTCTCTCATACTTGTGGATTTTATTAATTATTGACAATAGACTCTAGCAACAGCTGGTACTTTGGCTTTTGAGTATGGTCAAGTAAGTTCATAATAATACTAGAAGGATCGGACCGCTAAAATACTAAGCTAACAGCATATCATCTATTGGAATCAAATGAGAGAGAACTAACCTCTACAGTCCTAACCTCAGGACTGTCTGCTTAAAGATCCTAAAATGAACGAGTGATGCTTCGAAGACAGCAATGATCGAATACTAGTAACTTACAAATATCCCTTAATCTTAATGATCATGTTTTACATTCATCACGTAGAAGTGAGTTAACTACTAAACAGTGAACTCATCAAAGACAAATATCCCAGCCTACACTACAAATGATACAAATCGGTAAATACCAGGTATATTTTTCTAATTTTAATATAAAATAAAAACAAACATCACTGAAATATCAATTCAAATTGTCCAATACATATATTTTCATACTAAATGAATTATTTGTGTACACTATCATACTACTCATTATTTTTTTAGTAATAATGAAAGATACTACTGAACAAACATAGGAACAAGAGAATATAGGTCGAAAGGAAATCTAAATAATCATTAAACACACACACACACACAATATATATATATATATTAAAAGACAAAATGTTACTAGTCTTGTTCTGGTAATCTACAATCATCATTATCTTTCCAACCATATCGCCATCTTTCCAATACATGAGTACAATCAAATAACGGTTTGCCAATCTTTTTATTCACTAAATTATGTTGCATACATAACCATCCACTTAATGCATGACGACTATCCAATTTCGGTGGATGAACAATAATGTCTATATGATTGAGAAGAAAAAAAATAATGATATAAGGAAAAAAAACTTGTTACTCTCTATCTCTTTTTCTCCATACTATTTCACGAATTAATAATAACAAATGTACTTACTTACGCCTGTTACCTCTTGTGGTAGAACATAGGCCATCTATCAACATTCTCCATTCAATTTTGTCATGAAAAATCTTTTCCAGTTCCTATTCATCTTTCTTATGTCTGCTTCCGACTTCTGATGCAGTATGTTCCTTGATCTTTTACTTTTCCTTCTCAATTCAGGATTCCAAGTTGGGGCTTGCCTCATGATACAGTTTGATTATTTCCTCAATGTATGTCCTATCTATTTCCAACGTCTTTACCTAATTTCCAGTTCAGATGGAAGTTGTTTTGTCCTCTCCCATAGTAGGCTGTTGCTGATGGTATCCGATAAACGGACATTGAGTATCTTGCATAGACAATTGTTCAAAAGTAATTGTACTTTTTGATTATGGTTGTAGTAGCTCCATACAGTAGAACTGTCTTGACGTTCGTATTAAAGATTTTTACGTTGATATTGGTTAATAGTTGTTTTGAGTTCCATGTGTTTTTCAAATGTAGTAATACTGCCCTTACCATGACAATCCTCACCATTACGTCTGAATCAGATCCTCCTTGCTCATCGATGATGCTGTTGAGGTATGTGGAAGTTTCCATCTTCGAAATTCATTTTCATTTTCTAGGAGCCGTTGTGTTTTTAAATTTTTTTATTTTTACATTAGTGAAATAAGTATTTAGGCTTTGGATAGTGGAGTTTAATCCACCGTACACAATGAATGAGGGCTGCACAATAACTCAGAATGATTGAAGTTAGACACGTACACTAGTGGACTAAGGCTCAATGGTCTAGAGACTGAACGAAGGCTCCAAGTTCGAGCCTCTATGGCAGAGTAGTGAATACTAGGGACAAAACAGCTGTCCAGAGTTAACAGGGTTTCAAAGTTGATCTACCTAAGATTAGTCAGTGATTTAAACCATGAAAATATTTAAACGTCAGAACATTTTATAATTATTTAATAAATTTACAGACAATTTGTTTACTTTACTAATCGTCTTTAATGTCGTATAAAGTAAGTAAACTAGTTTTAAATAATTATTAATGTCCAAATTCACTTGGTGTTGTTTTACTTGTATCTTCCTATTGTTATTTAGGACTGCAAGTGATCAGTCACTTGTTGGCATATGTGCATCCTGTGCGGACTGCCTTGATATAGCCTTAAATCACAAGCATTTTAGGCAAAAGTGGATAGTGGCTAACAGTGGAATCTAGGACGCGCGTTTCGTCTTATTTATGACTAGTCAGCTGGATGTACCTGCATCTCACAGTTGATGTTCACTCCGGGACTCGAACCCAGTAATGTTCGCTTCAAACGCCATCGCGTTCTGACTTCGATATTGGTGGATAGTTATTCTGAGTTCCTGCATTCCACTGCTAGCCACTATCCATCTTTGCTTAATTATTACTGTCATTATTTATTGGTTATAAATAAATGGAAATCACTTGCTATAACAGTCCGCTATGCTCATTTTTCTGAAAAATGATATTAATCACTTAAATCTATAGTAATTATTAGTGCAACTTTGAACCTGACATATATGTACATCGGTTCGAAACGATACACCACACTAGTAAACCGAGATGCAATTATCAAGAAAGATTCTAGAGTAGTAGAGGTACTCACAGTATTAATAGTAAAGATTAGATATAAAAAAGAGAGAAATAAACAGGTGGATGGAGATTTCGCATTCTAAAAAAGTCAATCAGTAAATGGACCTGGGTTATTGCAAACGACTCTGAGACATCTCACCAAAAATCTCCAACCACAGATTACTATAATTATGCAGGTTTTACACCTGTTATTTAGATGACTTAATAAATTTATCAAAAACTTTATGCACTGGCATCACGTCTTGGTTTGCTCACCCATAGTTTTCTTACAGACTAATCCTACACCTCTTCACTACGATGTAATTTATAAATACGTTTACAACCAAAATGTATGTCAGTTGTTTTTAAGGTTCCAAAAAATCGTTTCATCTATTTCAGTTCATTAGACAATAGAGTCAAGTAGATAGATCGAGATTATCTGGATGGGAAATGCGAGATAATCGTAGTTAGCAGCTGAAAACGGAGTGATATGGCTCAAAATCACTTGTACAAGATCACGGATACATTCATCAAAGTAAAAAAAAGTAATTTTAAAATGCTAATGCGTTACGTACTTACTAACGCCTGTTAACCCCAATAGAGCATAGGCCGCCAACTAGCATTCTTCAACCCACTCTGTCCTGGGTCTTCCTTCCTAGTTCTGTCCAATTGTTGTTCATTCCTCTCATGTCTGTCTCCATTTCTCGGCATGATGTGTTCTTTGGTCTTGCTCTTCTTCTTTGGCATTGAGGATTTGAACTGAGGGATTGCCTTGTTTTGACATTTGTATTGAAAATTGTGACTTTGGTGTTGGTTGACAGTTGTTTTGATTTTGAGATGTTCTTCAGTTGTAGATATGCTGCTCTCGCTTTGCCGATCCGCGCCTTCATATCTGCATCAGATCCACCGTGTTCATCAATGGTGCTGCTGAAAGCAGGTGTAGCAGTAACTGCAAGGATACTCCACATCCTCTTCAGCAAGATTTGGGATGAAGAAAAAGTACCAACAGACTGGAAACAAGGACACCTGATCAAGATACCAAAGAAAGGCGATCTCAGCAAGTGTGATAACTACATGGGCATCACTCTTCTCTCGATACCAGGAAAAGTCTTCAACAGGGTATTGTTAAACAGAATGAAGTACTCCGTAGACGCCCAACTTCGAGACCAACAAGCAGGATTCCGTAAGGATCGACCGTGTACAGACCAAATCGCAACAATACGGATCATTGTGGAACAATCAGTTGAATGGAATTCACCACTCTACATCAACTTCATTGACTACGAAAAAGCATTTGATAGCTTGGACAGGACAACACTATGAAAGCTTCTCCGATACTACGGCGTGCCTAAGATAGTCAATATCATACAGAATTCCTATGACAGATTAAACTGTAAAATCGTGCATGGAGGACAATTGACAAAGTCGTTCGAAGTAAAGACCGGTGTCAGGCAAGGTTGCTTACTCTCACCCTTTCTCTTTCTCCTGGTGATCGACCGGATCATGAAGACGTCAACATCTGGGAGGAAGCATGGGATACGTGGACGTCTAGGTTGCAGTTGGACGATCTAGACTTCGCATATGAACTGGCTCTTCTATCGCACACGCAACAACAAGAGCAGGAGAAAACGACCAGTGTAGCAGCAGTAGGTCTCAACATACACAAGGAGAAAATCTGGATTCTCTGATACAACACAATATACACCAATCAAATCACACTTGACGGAGAAGCTTTGGAAGATGTAAAAACCCTGGGCAGCATCAGCGATGAACACGGTGGATCTGATGCAGATATGAAGGCGCGGATCGGCAAAGCGAGAGCAGCATATCTACAACTGAAGAACATCTCAAAATCAAAACAACTGTCAACCAACACCAAAGTCACAATTTTCAATACAAATGTCAAAACAAGGCAATCCCTCAGTTCAAATCCTCAATGCCAAAGAAGAAGAGCAAGACCAAAGAACACATCACGCCGAGAAATGGAGACAGACATGAGAGGAATGAACAACAATTGGACAGAACTAGGAAGGAAGACCCAGGACAGAGTGGGTTGAAGAATGCTAGTTGGCGCCCTATGCTCCATTGGGGGTATCAGTCGTACGTAAGTAAGAGTTTGTGATATACACGAATTGACCTAAGTTCGCATATCACATTATCGCAACGAGATGAAATGAACGAGGTGAATGGCTAAAAGAGATCATTGTAATTGTAGCAGCAATGACAGCAATGTTCACAAATGCCCTGGTACAGTCGAGAGTTGGGAGTCCACTTTCCCTCTCGAAACTCTTACATGGTCGCGTGTATACAGCCACTACCAGGGAAGTTCAACTCACTGCCTTCTCGTAGCGGGGATATTGTTTACAAAAGCGAGAGGATGGGAAGAGAATGTCCGGCGCTTAACCAGGTTGCTGGATACAGAAGATCCACCTATGGGGGTTGGAAAGCCCTGATTACAAGCCAGTAGTAGCACATGGGTTCGAGGATTCTGAAGGAACAAATAGCGTATGAACCAATTGTTGGTCACCGGCTACCATGGAACTGAATCTCCTGACGTTGCTTCACTGCCTTGTGGATTAGGCCTTTAGGTCGAAGGCTCCGGGTATGGTTCCCTAAGGAAACCACCTGTTTCGGTCTGGGCACTCGGGTAGTATCACGGCCCACACACAAACTAAGTGACTTGTGTGATGCATATTTATTTGGTGCCCCCTCTGTACCAATATTTATATGTTCAAATAAATAAATAAATAAAATGACAACGAGAATCAATGAAAATTGGAAATATTTTAGTGGTTTGGATTATCAAAATTGTTGATAGTTTGTAAGTGAAATTTGATCAGTCTTGGTTGAGATATGTGCATCCTGTGAGGATTGGCTAGACATAGTCTTTATGCAAAATAGATTCATTATAGCTAACAGTGGAATCCTCTTCCTATTTATAACTGATTAGCTGGATTTACTCGTTGCACAAGTGAGCGGCTATTTGAAATCAGTGGCTAGGTGGATAACGCGTTGATTTTTGGAGCAAATGGTATTGCGTTCGAGTCTGAGACTGAACAACTCCGGGAGGCATGTGTTCACCCAGCCGACAAAACCCGAATAGGACTAGACATGCATCCTGGATTCTACTGTTAGTCACATTCCATTTGTATGACATAAAACTGAGGATATCACTTGAAAGAACAAAATTAAAAGGTATGTATGAAAGAATATTCCAACTCAAGGTTTTAATGAATATAAAGTGATTTCCTTTACGCTACTGTGAACGACTTTCAGCTACATCATCGGAAGTTGCCAACCACTAAGATCACGTGGACTCAAACTAGACAGACTGCATTTGCCAGCATGACTCAGACTGAGAGTTAATAACTTCATGGGTTGATGGCGTGCCTTTGGCTTGACAACCCCTCAACCTTTCTTTTAACCTGAACGTTGAACACTCGATCGTTTTACGATACATAAGGAGTATTTTGAAGAAATATAATCTAAAATCTGGATATATTGACTAATGTTATATGTAAATCATTTTTATGTACCTTAGTAACAATGGATGTGTTTGTGCACTCATTCTAAAGTTACGTTTTGTGTCCAGTTGAAGCGGAGTTGGAGCTTTTCGTTTGGTGATTGAACTTCAAGTGCTTCAAACCATAAAGTTACTGCAAATCGCTACTAGATTTAAGGTGACAGAATAGAACATTATAGAAAATACTCAGGTATTTGTCTTGATAACTTCATCTCACTACTGTGCTGATACAGTAATATGTGGTAAGTTGAAAAGGATGAATAGTTTTGCGGAAACGCCAAAATAAAATAATTTCTACTTCATTTAAAATAGCATACTCTTTTGACTAACTGTTTATTAGTTAAACAAAACAAAAATAATACTTTAAAAAAGTATATTATACTTACTAGACTCAAAATCATAAGCACATGGTCGACATGGGAAGAACTGAGGAAAAATTTGTAAAAACTTCTTCATATCTTCTTGTTGTTTCAATGTCGGGTGTATAGGGTAATATGCTGCCATTGTATGCAACAAAGTCCATGTTGCTTTTCCAAGTTCAATTTTATCCGGTGGACACTCTAAATAGAAGCAAAATCCAATCAAATTACATTGAGCATAGTTGATGTGTACGCGGTTACAACGAAAATTAATCTTTTTTCTTTTTGTGTCTCCTGATTCAATGTTTGATAACAAGGGACTTAAAGACCGATAAGCGTTAATACCTTGATAGTGATTCATCAGTCGGTGTGTAGATTCGTGAAATAATAGGTCATCAGTCCTATTGGTCATGTAGATGGACTAGTCGATGATCGGAATCCTAATTGAGCAATATAATATTTGATAACGATCACTGATCTCAAGCCACAACAAAGCATCTTAAGGCACAGTAGTTTAATATAATGCGCGTCTGTGGATGTGTAGATCCCAGAGGAGGAAGAAATCAGGAAGAAGTGCTGCAAGTAGATAGGACACACATTGAAGAAAACACCCAACTGTGTCACAAGGCAATCCCTCACATGGAATCCTCAAGGCCAAAAGAAAAGGGGAAGATCAAAGAACACATTACGTCGAGAAATGGAGACAGACATGAGAAAAATGAACAACAATTGGATAGAACTAGGAAGGAAGGCCCAGGACAGAGTGGATTGAAGAATGCTGGATGGCGGCCCATACTCCATTAGGAGTAACAAACGTAAGTAATTCAAGTAAGTGGATGTGTATGACTTGATCCATTTATTTTCACGTCAGATATGAATATAAGTCAGTCATGATTAATGTAGTGTTTCGGACAAAACATGAGTCATCCCAACTCCACACAACAATTGTACGATGAGATGAAGTTAATTATAATAATAGTAAAGGAAAGTAGTAACAAAGTAATGACGATAACCGTCAGAATACTGAGCATATGATTTGAAATAACAAAACGAAAAGATGTATAAATGAAAATTCGAAGGAAGATAAAAGGTGAATGCATTCGCGTCATTGTGAACGATCCTGAGACAAGTCACCTTACGTCATCAACCACCGATTAATATCAAGAATGAAATAACAGTATGAGTACAGAATTTATGATTATCTAAATGAGTTAACTGTTAGATAGAGGTCCAGTGAACAACCAGTGATCAAAACATAAATTTGACTCAACTTTCGAGCTCTTTTAGGGTATACAAGTCGTCAGATGATCTCAAATACTTTTAGAAGTATGTGGAGGAAATTTAGATTCTCAGTTGTCTTTACCGTAAAACGATACTTATTCTTAAGGTACGCGCAAAGGTAGATGGATTATAAATGGTCTTGACGAGTCAGGATCGTAAACACAGGGACCAAGAGATGACTGTTCCTTTAGGCCGGTCACATATGACTTCATTGTGGATAGTTTAATATATTTAGGCTTACGATTTTAAGAGCATTATTATCGTTGACAGATATCTGTGGGACAAGACGAGGTGTGCTGCTTTTAGGGTAAACCTTATCAACAAATGCAGATCAAGACAAACAGTATAACAACAGCCTCTACATCAATAGACCTCAACATACAAAAAGGAAAAAGCAAGATGCTCAAATACAACACGGAGAACACCAACCTAACCATATTTGGTGGGAAAACTCTGGAAGAGGTCGAAACATTCACGTCAGTAACAATGGAGAACTTCGTACGTACGTACATCAGTTCGAGTTGCCACACCACCTTAACACAGAGATGCAGTTGTTGATTCAAATCCCGTAGTGGTAGAGGTGGTAAGAGTATAAGTGGTAATCGGAAAGATTGCAGTTATTCAAGGAGTATAATCCAGTGAAATAAATTCGGAAAGAGAAAAAAAAGAAAGGGACGTGAAGAATTCAGAAGATTAGAATTTGGGAGAACACAGAGAGTGGATGCACCTGCACCATTGCAAACGATTTCGAGCCATGTCATTCAGGGTCTCTAACCATCGGTTGCTATCATCTTGTCGTCCCCAACCAGGTAGTCTACACCTACCAACATGGCTCAGTCCACTTGTCAGTGACTTCATGGACTTGTGCCATGTTTTGGTTTGGCCGCCCCTAGCTTTCTTCCAACCTACTCCTATACCACTGAACATAGCACGTCGAGGTAGTCGGTGGTTGGGCATAGGTAACACGTGTCCCAGCCATCTCAAATGATCAAGTTTCACTACTTCATCAATTGATTTGCCAACCTTACCTAGTATTCGTTTCCTAACAACTGCGTTACTTACTCGATGGTCCCAAGATATACGAGCAGTGTTTCGAAGACACCTATGGTCAAATACTAGTAACCTACGAATATCCTCTACTCTTACCGGCCATGTTTCACTGCCATAAAGTGGGACGGAACGAACTGCTGCGCAGTAAACAAGTCCTTTGGTTGATAGACGGATATCTCGCCTACGCCATAAATGACGCAAGTTGGCAAAAGCTAGTCGAGCGTTCTGTATCCGTGCTGAGATTTCGTCACACACCAGACCACAAGGGCTGATGAGACTTCCAAGATCAGTGAAGCGGTCGACACGCTCAACTACTTCACTCCCTATCACTAGTTCGGGTGTCGATGCAACCCAATCCTGAAGCAACATTTTGCATTTCGAGAGGGAGAATCGCAACCCGAACATGTTTGCATTGTTGCTTAGAGTGGTTAGAAGACTCTGCATTTTGTCAGCGTCTTCACCAAATAAAACTATGTCATCAGCATATTCTAGGTCAAAAAGTAAATCTCCCGGTAGTTCAAACCCTGAAAATGTTGATGAGGAAATTGTTATCTCTAAAAGCATGTCAACGGCAAAGTTGAACAAGAATGGAGAGAGTGGACAACCCTGACGAACACCACTTGAGGTAATCAATTCTGATGACAGTTCGCCATAAGCTCTCACTCTACCAATTGTGTTCGAGTAGAGAGCCTTTACAAGGTTAATGTACTTCTTTGGTACTCCTTTCAGTGACAAACACTGCCACAGAACCTCACGATCAATAGATTCAAATGCCGCCTTAAGGTCGAGAAATACTACCATTGTGGGGCGTCTGAATGTGTGTCTGTGTTCTAGAACTTGACGTAGTGTGAATGTCTGGTCTATACAACCACGTCCAGGTCGAAAACCAGCCTGGTTTTCCCTAATCTGCTCTTCACGAGCTTTCATTAGGCGTCGAAGTATTATTGAAGCTAATATCTTAGACACTATATTAGTCAAACTGATTCCTCTGTGATTGTCACAAGAGGACTTTTGTTCTTTCTTATAGGCTAGCACAATCAGTGACTATCTGTTATTTATTTATTGATTTAAACACATAAATATTGGTGCAAGAGGGCACCAAATATATATGGTCAGATGGGATTATGTCCCGTTCCCAAATTCTACCTAAGACCTCAGTTAACATCACTGCTAATACTGGGCCACTATCCTTAAAAATCTCAGGAGTACACCTGTCAGGTGAAACTTTCACGTACCTGGACAGTATCGTCTATGAACAGGGAGGATCCGATGCAGCCGGAAAGGTAAGGATTGACAAAGTAAAGACAGCATTCCTATACTTGAAGAACATATGGAACTCAAAACTATTAACCAATATCAACGTAAGAATCCTTAATATGAACGTCAGGACAGTTCTACTGTACGGAGCTGAAATGTGGAGAACTACTACAACCATCAATCAAAAAGTACAATTATTTATGAACAATTGTCTATGCAAGATACTCAATGTCGGATACCACCAGCAACAGTCTACTGCGGAAGAGAACAAACTGGTTTCCAGCTGAACAGGAAATTAAAAACACGCTGGGATGAATAGGACATACATTAAGGAAATCATCAAACTGCATCACGAAGCAAGAGCTAACTTGGAATCCTGAAGGGAAACGGTAAAGAGGAATGCCAAAGAACACACTGCGTCGAGAATCGAAAGCAGACATAAAGTGGATGAATGGCAAGTGGAAAAGATTTCCCACGACAGAGTTGGATGGAGAATGCTGGTGGGCGGCTTATGCTCCTATATGAGGTAACAGGTGTAAGTAATCTATGCAGATGATTGAACAGCATAAAGTTATAATCACTGGGTCAACTACTTTCAACACTAAAAAGGTTCTGAAGGAAAACTGCAGGCATGAACTAGCATTTACATTGTGCTTTTATTTACATTCATGAGATGAGAATGATAAAAAATGACAAGTGGATAGGAATAATAATAATAGTAGTGACAACAATAATGGGAGCACCAGTCCAATCCGGTAAGCATAAATAGAAAGGACTCTTTCGCATACTAGCCTATCACGAACCTGAGTAAGTTTCTAAACCCTGTAGACAGTATATATACACTTCGAGTCTCTAGATATTTTGTAGAAAACAGCAGCTGTGTTTCCCACATTCCGATCAACTAAAATGTCGCCTGAAGTCGTACATAAAGCTTGGTTCTAAACTCCTTGTTTCAAGAATAACTCAAACGATATAACTTTCATAAAGTCCAAAGTTTTGAAGAAACATTTGGGACAAAAAAACTAACCCGAACCATGAAAACAGTACGTAAGCCACGGGAGATTAACTATCGAGAGTTTGGCTGCCGACTGCATCGTTTTAGATCATATATGATCTTGGATATTCTATAGAATATTCATTAATGACGTATATTTACTTGTACGAGCAAGTGAAAATCAGAATACTGAATTTTAATATTAACTATACACGCACACCCATTCAGTACAGAGTTTCCAGGGCTAGCGGTCACATTTTAAAACACACAGTGAACAATACAATACAAGATATAAGGACGTTTTGGAAAAGTACATACCTACACTCGGTTTGGATACCATCTCCTTTGCTTTTGTAAGACCAAACTTTGACAAGTCGACACATGCACGACAGAATCCCCTGCTTTTAGGGTCATAAATATCTTCGTCATCGTCTTCACTCACAGAAACACGTTCACCTTTTCTGGCCATGCTGATATGACCTTGACCTTGGATTACGTCAAACTTCGAGCCTTCATGCAAGTGGTTGTGTCGTCAACCTTCTGTAATAAGGATAGAAGGTCTATCAACCTATATTAATCCTTGCACTTTTTAACACTACGAGGGTTCAATCTCGTCTTGAATATGCCAACAGAAGGTGCTGATATTGCGTGTTCTAAATGTTTCAAAGTGGTTTAAATGGATGTGGACGGAATAGAAGAAGCTTTCGCTTAACATGCATCTGTGTCTAGTAGCAGTGGAATACCAACACCTCCAGGCAGGAATCTAGGCATATTAACTATAAAAGATCATAAAAAAGAAACAGATAACTCATGATAAGATGTTATCCTTAGACCTTAAGAATAGGTCAAGTTTCCTCTTAAAGGACTCCTGGGAATTCGCTTGGAAGAGCTCAGTCGGCAACGGATTCCAGCAAGTGACAACTCTCAAGGAGTAGAAGTTGTGTCTACAGTCCGTTCTGCTATGTTGTGCCTCCAATTTCTGGGTGTCACCCCTTAGGTTTGTATTGGGACTAAGCTTAAGTAGGTGTTTAAGAGGATGTCCAGAAGTCGTAAGGATACTGTAAGCCATAATAAGGTCAACTCTAAGATGCCTATACTCTAATGGGTAAGAGTTAAATGACCGGAGGTGCTCTTCACAAGGTTTAAATTTGAGTCCCCGAAATGATTTCGTGACTCGTCGTTGGATACGCTCAATACTCTAAGTGGGGACGGATAAAACTGTTGAAGATTATGTGGAAAGTTCCTCCATCAAACTGGCCAAAAATGCGCTTCAATGTTGCCAGTGCAAGGTTTGCTCGAAAGGTATTTTTGTCACAGTGAGCGTAGGATTTCAAATCGTAGGTTACCAGCACTCCTAAATCTTTTTCAAATTGGGATACTTCTAGAGAGTAGTCGCCTAAGTTGTAACTGTAATCTGCAACATGACGCAGATGGACTACTTTACACTTTGAAGTGTTAAAGGTAGGTTCGTTGTCATCTGCCCAACTTTGAAATCGAGTTAGATCTTCCTGAAGTGCCAGTATATACTCTTGGTTGCGTATCTCTCTTCAGTTTCACATCATCAGCAAAAAGCATTAAGTCAGACGACATCTGTTGTGGAGGATCGCTAACATAGATCAAGAAAAGAAGAGGTGCTAGTACTGAGCTCTGTGGGACCCCACTAGGACATTCCATAGCCTGAGATAAAGTTAAATTAACCCTAACCTTAAAATGTCGATTTTTCATGTATGAAGTTAGCCAATCGATTAGAGGTGGTCTGATACCCAGTCGTTCGAGCTTATTGATAAGACATCTATGGTTAACCTTATCAAAAGCTTTTGAGAAATCTAGGTAGATGATGTCAACCTTCCCCTTGTGATCGAGGATGCTTGTCCATCTGTCCACCGCAGTTAGCAGGTTTGTTATGCAAGAGTGACCCTTCCTGAAACCATGATGTTGGGGTGAGAAGAAATTTAAGAACAGCAAATTGTCATTTATGCCATCGCATATCAGGGACTCCATGATTTTTGAAGGTATAGAGAGAACAGCCATCGGTCGGCAACTTGAAGGTTCGCAGTGTCGACCTCCTTTGGAAATTGGTGTGATGTGAGCCAGCTTCCAGATTTCCGGTGGTTCACATCGACTTGGCGAGTGTGAGAACATCACGCTAAGTGGTGTTGCCAGCATTGAGGTTCATTTCCACAGTATAGCAGAATGAACCATATCTGGGCCAGGAGAAGTGTCTTTTCTTAAGTGCTGCAGTTTCCAGAACACCAAGTCAGCGCCCAGATTCGCTTCGAAAAGTCCTGTGCAGTTGCAGATGAAGCTGTCATCAGTGTAGTTGATGCGGGTAGGTAGGGAGGTCCATTAATTCATTATTCAGTGCTAGAAACGAAACTCTAGACATAGGATATTTGATCTCAGTTTTTGAGCCGTCCTAAAGTATCCTCTCAAATGATCAGTCCTAGACGGGAGGACGTGATAAGAAATGTTAATACCAAGGTCATCATTCAGTATATGATAAGCCAATATTAGATCACTCCGTAGTCCACGGTAAGATAACATAAATAGGTTGAATTACCTCGGTCTGTCTTTATAAGGCGGGGCAGAGAGACCTTTTACCATTTTAATCCCTCGTCGTTGAACTCCTTCCAGCATATCCACCTAATACTTGAAACAAGGACTGGCTGCTTGGATCCCATATTCCAAATGCGGTCTCACAAAATCCCATATAATAACCTAAACATTTATTCATCTAACTACTGAAAAGACCTGCGAATAGCCGATAATATCATATAGCCTTTTACAACAGCAGCCTTACAGTTACTAGTAGTTTTGAGATCACTGCTTATTATGACCATCCGTCCATCCATGCCACCAATGAGTTGAGCTCATCCTGTAATACTATTCTATCTGACATACTGTGTGTGGGTCTCCAAATCTTGATGTCATCGGCGAAGAGTTGAACGGAGGACTGTTGTGCAGTTGGTAATTCATTTACATAAAGTACAAGAAAAGAGGACCAAGGATCGTACCTTGAAGTAGTCCACTTTTTACAGGTTCCCACTTTGAGAGAGCTCCATTTACCCTTGCCTTCTGTCTTCTATCACTGAGGTCACTTATCCAGTTTACGACCTTATGATGGATTCCCAAACTTTCCAATTTTAACTTAAAACCCGGATGAGAGACCTTATCAAAGGCTTTACTTAAATCTATGAAAATTACGTCTACAGAAATATTTCGATCTTTTGTTGCAGCCCAATGTTCTCTTGCAATGAAAAAATTTGCGACACATGACAGGCCTTTCCGAAAACCGTATTTTTCTCAGGATGTTATGACTCGTGACCTGTGTGCCCTGTTAATGTATAACGTAACGATACCGCTAATTAGAGATCAGTGAATTATCGATCGGACCAATGACGCATAAAACCTGTACGAACAGTCTAGAGTACTTATCGGTCCTGCTTTCCGCCTAGCCCAGCCAGTTAAATCCAGAACACCAATCTCAGCCTCAGCAATATAAATCACTTATTTCAAACATACAGAGTTTATATATCAATCAAACAGACCACATCGTACCATAAAATAGGAAACAACATTTGTACAAGAATTAGCCAAATGTGGCTGTGAATGAGGGAGGTAGTAATTAATAGACATGGCATAACTCAAGAATGGTAAATCATATAATAATAGTCCATAGGTCAAAATAAAGCTCATAATAAGAGGAACATGAGTATGAATAGTTTATTTATTTAACAATTATACGATAAAAATATAAGCATAGTATTGGTCCATAAATGGACCCCAAAAGTTACTGGGACATAACACAGGATAAAAGATTATACCCTTCCACATAGTTTGTGGCCGCAATCGGAGTAATTTTTTCCATTAGTTTGACAACTGTACTGGTTATAATAACGGGCCGATAGTTACTAAGTCACTGCTCCCTGTATTATACATCGGACTAACCATTGCGTCTTTCCAGTCTTTAAGCAGTCTGGAGTGCCACAGTAAGACCATAGGTTCAACAACTACATCCGACAGGGCTTTCACAATCCTGGGATGAATATCATCAGGATCACTGGGGTAATCTGAAGTAATTTTCAAGATAATTCCTTTCTCAATAACTACGGGCTCCATCGACAAGCCTCCCTGGTCGCGATCGATAGTTGTTCATTCCTCATTGGAAGTGAATAACACCTTACTGAAATATTTCAATAAAGCTTAAGATTTTTCGGCATCCTCCCTTGCCAGTACTTACGGGTTTTCTTGTATAAAATGTAATGCGATCTCATCACTCCTCTGAGAATAACCGTTTCGGACAATTTTTGTAATTTCTATCCAATTGTTTTTCATACAACTCTTTAGTCTTACTTTTAACGTTTTACAAGCATTTCTAGTATTACAGTAACTGGGTGTGTACTGTTCTAGGTCAGTAGATATGAACATATTTCAATGCCCTTTCCCATGTCTAAGAAGTTTCTTGACTTGTTTAGTTATCCACAGTGGACAGTTATTTGGTCTACGTGAGACAAAGCATGGTATAATTGGGGACGTAACTAAATTAAGGTTACCTGTATTATAGACCACGTCTTTTCAATTGATGAGCTGACGTTTACTGACCAGGCTGTTTTCGCAGCACATTCCTTAATCGGTGGTATGTTAGCTTGTAGTGGCATTGGGCCCTAATATGAGACAATGTGGGAAATAGGCATTTAGCATGTAGCGGTAAATAAATACTCAAAATAAATAGCACTAAGTTTTCGACATTGGATGCTGACCATATGTTTTAGTGGACTCATCTAGCTGAAGGCGCTCGGTAAGGCATCAGCACCAGATCACGTGTGGTAACGCCGTGCTCAAGATCAACCGCAATTGCTAGCCAGATTAGATCAGAGAATTCCGATATATTGGTTATCGCCAAATATACTCTTCCGATCTCATCGACTCTGTCTTTTGATTTCTCTGGGTGGGAACGAATCATATTAGAAGGTGTTACTGGTAGAAGCATTGTCAAACACTGAATACCTGTGTCATCCTTTCAAGCATTTAACAAAACCCAACGATGAAGAGGGCGGGAAGAAGGAATTGAATGAATTGAAGTTGATCGGATGGCATGGCTCGTCGATGCAGGCGTGGTCCCTACCTAATGTTACCTTATATCTTTTATTCATCTCAAATATCTTGTTCTTTCTCTAGCCTAAGCTCGTTCTCCATCATGTATTGGTAATTGCTACGATACAGTGATTTGGTGTAGACGATGATGTGACTTCCACTTGAGATCTTATAGATTAGGCAGTTATATCATGACGAATCTACAATTTTAGGATTAGTTCTATTATAAGAGCAGTACTAATATCATAGTAAACCATAATTCTACAAGCTCTCCATACATTTGGGTGAGGCTTGACCTGGATGTTGCACTAAGGTTTATGTTAGGACTGAGTTTATGCAAGTATTCAAGTGGGTTTTAAGTGCTTGAGATGTTAT